GGAACAGAAACCGAGAAAAAAGACTGAAAAGCAGCCTAAAATCAAGGCTACTCTGAATCCCAGCACAAAGGTTGTATTTTCTTTCATTTGATTGTTTTTATACTTGGCGAATAACAGCCCGCGTCTGCTATTGCTGAGCGCTACCTCGTAACGCGGCAGTCTGCAGTCCGTAATTCCGAGTTTTGTCGTTTTTGTAAGAATAGAAGGCTTGCAAAATACGGCCGCATCATGTGGCTCGGATGCAGGGTCAACCTTTCGTTGGAACAAGCACCGGGGGATACATGTACCAAAGGGCATTGTGCTTGCGTTTTGGGAGATGGCGGTCACGGTTTTGGGGTTGGCGAAGGAGGAAAGATCACTCGAGAGGTCGAGTTTGTTGATTGGGGGCAGCGTCAGTCGGTGGAACAACTGTCAACGGGGGGATCGTATTCGGCGATGATGAGGGGAGGCATGTATATTCGGGCAACGTCGGAGGCAGGCGTTCAATATCTACGACAACGGGTAGGTCGGACGACCCCCCCTGCATCGACGGGAATTTTTAGAGAATATGTGGGAGATGTGGGGTGGGGAGGTTGGGAGTGGAAAACTGCGTTATACGGAATCAATACTATAGTAGCAGCTTTACAGCTTGGGGGGGGGGGGTCTATCTGGAGGCCGCCTCAGAAGGGGAAGGGTCGGTATAAAAGTTTTTGAAATTTGTTTAACGTGGCGGTGGGTGGGTAACCCCTCAAGTCACTCCATCGTAGTAGTCATAATATTTTTGAAATACCAGTAGATGTGAGCACCTGCGTCGTACGAAGCGGAAGGCGGCTTCGTTCGGGTAAGGAACCGTATGCAGATGGCAGGTTCGACACGCCGTCGCGCGAATCGCACTGTGTCGCGCTGAGTGACTGCGAAGTCTGGCGTCTGATTGGATGCAACCCAAGTTAATACAGACTTGGCGAGTTCGGCGGCATTTTCAGTTTACTCTATGAAAGTATCATCAGATCATGTTCCGTTATAAGAACAACGGACTAACACGCAACAACGGGTCGGCCATACAACCACACCGGCGATTGACACAACATCCGTTGCAGCACAGGTCGCCCCACGACCAGGTAATGGCCTGGCTCTCAATTAGAATCAGCTCAACTTCAAGAAGAATTTTCCACTGATTTCAAGATACAGAAGCGCTTCGAATGGCTCTGCGAAGGGAAATCAGAAAATTCGTCTCTCAGGAACTGAAACAGAAGGTTGGAGTGGGCACAATTTTTTTCACCACATCTTTGTTTATTGTAAGTTGTTGACTGCAAAGAAATAACCCCGTGTTGGACACACTGATGGCATTTTCCCAAAAACTTCTCAATATACGAGTATTTGGGTGAAACACCTGTTCGGGAGGCGAGCCACTCAGGTTTTTCTCCAATTATCAGTAAGAGGATTTAGAGGGCGCTCACGACACGTAATCGACTCATTTAAAGTAGACTTCTGATAAATATTGGTGTAATGGGTGAGAAACCCTGAAACGTTTTCACATTTCCGCCTGCCATGACCCAAGGGAACGGTCCTGGACCAGGAGAAAGGACACCTCCGCAAAGGGCTAAGGGTGCAGGAGCTCCAGGGTGGATCACCTGTGCAGAAAAGTGGATGGGATGTGGGCAGGTAGTGTGGAATGTAGGACATCCACCGGTCCTTATCAAAAGTACGCTCGAAATGAGTCGTTCACTTATTATCTTATCCGTAGTGTTCGATAGCCCAAAGAACTGCTCTCTAGTACTACGGATAAGATAGCAATGGAGTGGCCCCCCGAACTGGAGTTTCACCTAGTATTGTCTTAAAATGAGCCGATTGCTGCTAGGAAGGGTTTGCATAGGTTAGAGCTAATGTCCCTAGGAAACTATCCACGTTGAACCGATCCAAGAAATTATGTAAGAGCTTCAGGATGAAGCAGTTACTGTAGGCCTCCCTGAGCTCGACGACGGTGACAGATGACGTCATATTCTGAAGACGGTGAGGGTAGAGTGAAGGAGGGCCTGCGTGTACTTACAGAGGGACATTTAAAGGAATATTTTGCCGAGGAACTTCCTTCAGTGACGGCAACCTCTGCGAAGAAAAAAGGTCGAATGGGCGACATGGGCAAAAGTCTTTGTTTCCCCCTGTGTACGCCATTGAGCACTATCAATCATATAAAAATTACAAGAGAAAGACTGAGTGTGTTGTTTCCAATTGGATGAGACACGCAACGAATCAGTATCTTCGAAGAAGCAGAAGCATTTGAATTTCATTGTGATGCGTACAGTGGCTTTACAACTCAGCTTAAAGGACGAATTCACGATGAAAAAGCAACCCATTTCAAATTAACCTAGGGATGGTGAGTGGTACACGAAAGAAGGAAGAACCATGAGAAACGGCCCAGAACCCGAGAAATGGGTACCCCTTCCTTGCCCGTTGATTCGAGCATTGATGCGACTCTCATCGCTGTGCCCTCTTCAACACTACGCTCTCAGCTATCTAATCACTCGCCACGTATTGAACTACGGCGAGTGATCAGATGATCGGTGGGCGGAGATCGCCGGACCCGCCAGCTTTGAGGCATGATAGGTCGCCGAGGTCAAATTTTTCCATGCGAATTGCGCGTCAGTTCGCACCCTCAGGAGGTCCGTGTCCCTCAACTAGGTCAGTTTCCCTTTCTTCGACCTCCATTCTAATCGTGAATTCCTCCTTTAAATTACCCTTCACAAGGTTAAAACACAGACCGAGTCGCGTGGAGAGGAAAGAGCCCACCGATTCGCTGGAAGGAAAATGAAGGCTTGGCTAGACTAGGCTAGATGACTCAGGAATGAGCGATGCAAGCGTTCAACTTCCACTGAAGGTCATAAAGGCATCACCTGCGTATTTGAAGGTTCAATCCGCGCTGATCGTTTGGTGAAGTTAGATAAAATAGTAGTGCATCCTCCATTTTGGTGAGCATATTTCTCTTATTGGAATGAATAAACCGCTATCGTTCGATAAGGATTCAAAACCGCAACACGAGGAGCAGTAGTGGCAAAAGACGCTTACCACAGGCACAGGCCGAACTTCGGAGAGCCGAATCCAGGAACGGACGTCGAGGACAAACAAGCCTAGGGATATTTTACTTGGTACCAGAATGTCGCTCACGAGGACTGAAACACTGAAATGTGCAGCGGGTGTCCGCAAGTCACTATTCGGCCACGCCCCATTCAAACGCTACTACGATTCCAAATGCAAGTGGAATGTATGGCGCATACCAAAAAAGGATCGATCAACGTTACAAGTCTGCTTTTTTGCTGCTCTAACTAAATGCGTCAACAAATTAGCATCAAATGTGCTTTTGAACTACAACATAATACGCGAATAAGCTTAACTGAATGCCAGCATATCTACCCTATGTCCCAAAATGGCCCGCCGTCTTGTGGTTGGTGAGGGAAAGGAGGAACTTTCAGTTGACCTGGGGCTGTATGGATGGTATTCCAAGACATGCCAATGTTGCACAAAGGAAAGCAGTAACGAACTGGATTTTTATAAACCGAATTTTGCTGATCCACGCCTCATCTGATCCTTTGTTTGTCCTGTTAACTTTGAAAATTTCAGGGTTTTCGAGTGCATGGAACCAAGATCGTTGAAGGAATGGAGCCAATGAACGAGCCCAATGTGGTGATTCCTGTCTCAAAGACCAAGTCACACCATACAGACGACATATCTTTAGAGGTGCTGGTAATTGTTCAATGAGTTCTAAGTGAAATATATAATACTTTGTTTCTAGAAGATCCTTACTTGAAAACAAGCATTCACTGCTGAACAAAACTCGTTTGCAGGTGTTCGATTCGACAAACGCCTGCGATCAAAACGAACACTCGGTGATGCTTAGTTTTCACTCATCAACGAGAAAACCGTACACAGCTGCCGTGGAAACGGTAAAAGCTCGTGATCACCGGCAGTGCCTTGAGCATTGCGAGGAGAATTCCGATTGGTGGGTAGCGCTGGGTTCTCAGGAAAAGAACTGGTAAGAGTAAAAATAAATTTATTTTTATTACAGCTCATCGGCTGTGTTCTCCGGTTCCATGTGCGAGATGTCTACAACCCGAGCCCGACATTCAGTTCCAGACATTCGTCCGGCAAATAACGAAACCTACATCGAAAAGGCTTGTGTGGATAAGATGTTGGTCAAAGGTAATAATTCACGGCAACGATCAATAGCTATGTAATACATGATGAGTTGGCAAAAATCATTCGCACTTCGACATATACTCCCTTTCAAAAAACGAGAAGAGCGTCGGGTGCAGACCATACACCACAAGTGACGACGGCCTCCACAAAATGTAAATGTTTTCTGCCAATGAAATGATTAGCCTGTTGCAGTTGTATTCTATCAGTTGTCACTAACAACTATCATTTACCAAAAATCAGCTATCACTATGAACCACTACTAACCAGATTTACTTGGAGGCCGTCGTCACTTGTGGTGTATGGTCTGCACCGACGCTCTTCTCGTTTTTTGAAAGAGGGTACTTCGTCGCATGGGTGCCGCCTTTTGAGGTGGTTTTTCGGCTCCCAGACGTTCCTTCATAAGCAGAAGCAAACTCTTGCTCTTTGC